TGGTCCTAGTACGCCGTTGTATGTTTCTGTTTGTATCGTTACATCGTACCCAAAAAACCCAAACAGCAAAGTCAGGTTTTAATAATCTCACTTCTGCCTATAATCTTAAAAAACTAAATCCAGAGTTTTTCAGCTGAGTCAAATGAAATAAGTGAGTGAGTAGAAAGAAGTTGGACTAAACTTCCTCCATCTTGTGTTGGTCCTGCTCAGCTGCTGAGGAGGAGTCCTGAGCGCCGTCTGGGAGCAGGAGAGAGAGACGCAGAGGAGGTGAAGAAGCATCTGTTCTTCACGGTGAGTGATGAAGCAAACGAGCCCTTTCCCTGACCAGCACCTGTGAGCTGACGTTCCTGTGTGTGTGTGTGTGCGTGTGCGTGTGCGTGTGTGTGTGTGTGTGTGTAGAACATGGACTGGGACGGGCTGCTGGCCAAGAAGGTGAAGCCTCCGTTCGTCCCCACCATCCAGGGAGCCAGCGACGTCAGCAACTTCGACGACGAATTTACGTCCGAGGCTCCGATCCTGACGCCCCCCAGGGAACCCCGAGTGCTGAGCTCCGAGGAGCAGAACCTGTTCTCTGACTTTGACTACATCGCTGACTGGTGTTAGCTCCACCAGGACACTGAACGAGAACGTCCTCCTGCTCTGACAGGAAACATCAGGAACTCACAGAGAACACCTGATGTGTTCAGGAGCCTCACGGCTGTTTTCATCTGATGAAGAAAGGATTTTAAAGGACTTCAGCTGGACGTCCTTCATCATCGTCATCGTCACGTCTGATGATTTTATTACAGATGAACTGAAACAATCAGTCAGTTTTTTACCTGTACAGGTGGAAACATGTCGTCACTGAACCTGCATCAAACATCCTGACTACTACTGCTGCTTCCTGACTTGAAACCCCAGTGAGCCTGACCACCTCCTCCACCTCCTCCTCCTCCTCCTCCTCCTCCTCCTGCTCCTGCTCCTCCTGGCTGTAGGAGCTGGGATCAGCTCAGCTCTGGCGCCCTCTGCTGGCTCGCTGGGTTCTTACAGCGGAGCAAATCTTTAGGTTCTGTCAGCGTCATGAGCAGTTAATATCTTACCTGTTGCAGACGGCTTCTTGAGCGAGCTCCGTTTGGAGAAACAACATTTAGTTCTGACAGCCAGGATTGTTTTAACCCTTTAGTTCACCATCGTACAGTTACATGGAGTTACATCAGTGTTTGTCTGTTAGCTAAATATCTGAGTCACAGGACGTCTTACAGATTTACAGATAGTGGGCTAAAAGCTGGCATGAGAGTCATCAGACTGAGCGAGAAGAACTCTGTTAGCAAAATAWTTCACAGGTTTTAATGAAACCTTTACAGAAAGTGATCATTGGCTGCAGCGTGAATCAAGATGGCCGCCACGGCTAACTGACCGTAAACAAGAGGAACAAAGAGTTTATTATAAAACTGACAGCCTGTTTGAAGCCGTGGACATATTAGAAGTTGTTTTCAGACACTGATCCTGGTCCTGGTCCTGGTCTGAATGAAACCGCTCCAAGCGTTTCCTGCAACAAGGCTGCTCCACAGAAGCACACTTGAACCCCTCTGAGTGCTGCGGAGCATTACAGAAACCTGACCCCCCACCCGCCGGTTCTGATGGACCTTCTTTATATTTGATTACCTCAGTGGACTCGAGTTTTAAGTGCGACACAGTTAAAGCTATGAAAACCCAAAGAATGCAGTCGTGGTGGATGAAAGGTGGAGCCTCAGCGAGGAGCTGCTGGTTTTTAGTCACTCAGATTCCTGTCAGCAGGTGTTGATCTGAGGCAGGTTTTATACATACTGTATGTTCACAGTTAAGCTGAAAGCACTACTTTTATCAAAACTTTTAAATATCTACATTTCTTAATGATGAACATAGATTTGTACAAAGTGTTTTTGTTTCTGCATGTTTTCAGAACAGATGTGTAAACTGTATGGATGGTACATATATGACCCAAATCACTTCAAGACCCTTTATAAAAAAAACAGTCACTGTTTTTTGTTTTTGTTTTTGTTTTTTTGCCTATCATGAATTCACAAATTAAACATTTGTTATTGTGTCTCAGACTTTTTAATTTACACATGAATGACTTAAAAAAGCACAAAGATTGTGAAGCTGATCAATTGTATACGTGTGTGTATATATATGTGTGTATATACAGTGGTTTGCAAAAGTATTCATACCCCTTGAACTTTTCCATATTTTGTCACATTACAACCACAAACATAAATATATTTCACTGGAATTTAATGAATACCAACATGTTTTGTATAGATGAGGCAAATTTAAATTAAGACATTTAAAGAACCATTTTTTCTCAAGCTGTACAAGCAGTTATTAAATAAATAAATAAATAAATAAATAAATAA